CTTAAATAATTTACATGACATGACTCTATGGCAGTAAATAAATGCTGAACATAAAACCAGTATTCCCATGTACTCATGTAACTATGTCAATCATTGCCAAACAATATATTATGACAGAGAGAGAGAGTGTGTGAGAGAGAGAGAGAGAGAGAGAGAGAATAAATGCCAGAGCATAACCAGTCTCAATTATCAGCTGAAACAGATTCCATTTGGCAATGTGGCGTTGAAAATTATATGAATGGATCACCGAAAATCAATGATGACCTGCTTTACTGGTAGCGCCCGTCGCCACTCACACAATTTGCATAAAAAAGTAAGTGTTTGTTGCCTGATGCCACACAGAAGTACTCCCAATTTCACTAAAATCAGATCTTAGTTCTCGCTACAGCTAAACAAAGATCTGGGGACATCCCATTACAGGTCACATCAGACAGACCTTGCGCAAACTTTGACCGACCAATGGAATGACCAATCAGAAGGCAGGTTTCTCGTGCTTTACGGCACTAATTTCAAACTGGCGACAATGCTTTGAAACATATTTTCACAAATTCTCTATTACAAATTTGAAACCTAAACAAAAGAACATTCTTGAATGGCTAATAGATGGTTTAGATTATATGGGTTCAGTCTTTTAACCCCTAACTATCGTTCGGAATACCCCGTGTTAAAGTTTTCGAGGTTGCATGATTAGAAATCACATTCCGACTGTCACTTTCATGATCCGGTAAGCAACGCTCTGATTGGTCGGATGAATGGTCGTTCTGACGTGACCCCTAATGGGATGTCTTCAGATCTTTGTTTTGCGGTAGCGAGAACTAAGGTCTGATTTTAATGACATTTCAGTACTCCTGAAAACAAACCTGACGAAGTGATGGACGAGAAAAATCCAGTGACATGATAGCACATTTACTGATTTTGTTGGAACAAAAAACAGTATGTTAATTCTGATTTACATCTGCTGTGTACAAGTGCAGAGATTCTGCTGCTTTTGAATGATGAAAAATAAAGAAATATGTTCATTTTGCAACACAGTGGACATCTTCCCGAGGCAAGGGCATTATCTGACTATAAAAGTCCAGTTTTCACCCTTGCCAAACAAGGCTGGAATTCCAGGGCCCTCAGTGGCTATTACGAGTTATGTCCCTTCCATCAGATGCCATCTCTCGTATCACTTGCATTTGTTTCAAACAAAATGGCGGCGATAATCAATATCTATATTTTGATAAGACGGGTCTTACACCGCGAAGTGCATCAAATCACATGAGCACCTTGATTAAAAACATGAGCGAGTGAGTGAGTGAGTTGGGTATTAATGCCGCTGTTAACAGTATTCCAGTTATATCGTGACGAGTCAGCTTAATGTGGGAGGAAAGCCCGAAGTGATGTAGGTCTCAGAGGTTTACCACTTCAGTGAAACCCATGGGCACTGGCATGGTGCTGACAAACCTAGAAACATTAGAATTAACCGTGCCCCCAATTAAAAACATGAAAAGATTTGGAAAAGGTGCACAAGCCTTATGCTGTTATGTTTTGTTTCTGATCATTGTCACAGAAATGTGAAATTTGACATTTTGAATAAAAAACTTAATGCAAAATTATCAAGTTTAAAAATAGCATAATGCAACATGTGCAATGAGTGTTATTTACAATGTATCCTAAAGACATCTGCATTTATAATTTTGTATAACAGCACAAAATACATTTGCCAACCAGTCTACCATTTCATTTGCTTTTACTGGACCTTCCAGAGATCTACTAGCTTGGGGATGACCGGGCAGTGTAGCTGTTGGACCCTGGGCATGTTATCACACATCTCACATTAAGAAACAGTCACTGAATTGATCCTCCCAGTTATGTTAAACTCGGCTGACAAACAGTTGCCGTATTCAACGTAATAAGCGCCCGGCTCTAATAAGCGGCGATATTTGCCTAAATATAGGCTAGTGAACAATCCACATTAGCACCCCTTCTGATTGATCAATGTACGCAAGACTTATTTATTCCCGCATAATACGCACTTGTGTGTTATATGCACCCTTAATCATGGGCAATAAAATTCTGAAGAAATATATCTGTCGTATATAAACATTTCAGGCTGTCAGCATAAACCACGAAATTTATCTTTCAACTGTTTTTTTCACCAAAATAATATTCTAATAAGAGCCCCCTATTTCTAATTTTGAGAGCGCCCTAGGCGCTTATTACGTCGAATACGGTACAAGCCTGTCGCTGAACAATTGGGAATCAAGAAAATACATAAAACAACAATCTTTGTTCACTTGTTTGTTGTTGAGCGCCTCACTGGGCAATATTTCAGCTATATAACAGCTGTCTGTAAATAATCAACTATGGACCAAACAATCCAATGATTGACATCATGAGCATAGATCTATTGAAATATGATGACATGCATCAACCAAATCAGAGAGGCTGACCACCCGATCCGGTTAGTTGCCTCATACGACAAGTACAGGTCACTGAAGACAAATTCCAAGCAGGATCTTTAAAGGGCAGAAAACAGCAGTGTCCAAGTATATTTTCATGTTTAACATTGCAGTCACTGAAATGCTCATCTTGAGTATGTCATACTCTGCTCTAAACAGCTGTACAATCTGTCTGAACTTAGCACGGGACAGTTCTTGTCCTAAAAGAAAATGGCACTTCCAATGAAAATATTCGGATAACCTGTACAGACAGTGGGGAATTTACATTTAATAACTGTCAACTAATCCTATGTACTCCAAACTACAGGGGAGGGCAAGGGACTGAAGGGAGGGGATGTTCGTTCTGATATAGAACCGATGCAATGCAGCATTTCCTACCTGGTGACCTTCACAACTGGGCCTTCCCGTATCCCGAACTGCTGAACAAGTGTGGCAGCAACCAACTGACAATCCGGACACGGAACCAATCCGAGATATCAGACACTCATGACAGGCCACTAACATGACAAGTCTGAGACTCTGACTAGTGGTCAGATAGTGGTATTAACAGTATGCATACACAGCGGAGTGAATGAGTGAGTGAATGTTGTTTGAATGCTACAGTCAGCAATATTCCAGCTACATCACAGCGGGCTGTAAAAATCTGGTCTAGGCCACACAAACCAGTGACAGAAAATAGGAGCAGTGTTTTAGGGGATGGAATGATACAAAGCAAATACAGGCATCACGAGCTGACCAGCCATTTCAAAAAGTGGCACCATCTTATCTAATTTTAACAAATTATTGAGTGAGTGTTTGGGGTTAAACGCTGCTTTGAACTTTATTCCAGTTACATCACGGTGTGTCTGCTTTATGTGAGAGGAAAGCATAAAGGAATGTAGGTCTTAGACATTTACCACTTTGGTAAAACCCATCAAATCATTGCAGTCATAAGCTGTGAATATGGTTTATTAAAAAATGTGAGTGACCTTGAGCTCCTAAGTCATTCAATCTTAAGGACAGAATAGGAGATGCAGAGAGAGAAATGTATTTGGAGTGTGTGCCATGAAGAATTCATGAAGACGTTTGTGCCTTTAGGACGTTTTGTGCCTTTTTGGTTGCCAACAAGAAGATTGCCCTTGATCCAGTGTTGAACTCGGTGACCGTTTCACCTTGAGACAGAGAATATACAGCTATTAAATAGAAGCTTTGTCCCTTCCTATTCATGGTGATTGATACCTTATTTTATTTCTGCATGTCCATTATATTCAGTGTGTTTGTCACGTCTATTTGAGTGAAAGTACACTTGCTTCAGATAATAAACATTGTCAGATGACATTGCTGTTCAAAACTGTTATTTCGAAGTGAGGTGAGGTGAAATTGGGTTTAACGTTGCATCCAATGTTATTGCACTTATATAGTGACATGCATGCACATGTGTGTGTGAGGCTGCTTTTACTTGTCCAGACTGATCACGATTTATAGTGCTAGCTCACTGAGATACCATGCTGCAGTTTAACTTGAATACCCCACTCAGACACAATATACTGACTCCAGGCCAACCAGTCCTTGTTTCAGCCCCTTAATGTCGCGCCAGACTGGAGAACAAGAAGTACGGTACCATCTTTTAACGTCTTTTGGTATGACGCGGCCAGGGATTGAACCCCCAACCTTCGCTCTCCGGTAGCTGTACCACTAGACCACGGAGATAGTCTAGTGTCTGGGCACTAAACTACAAGGATTGTCTATATGTGTCATTACAATTAAAACTATGCAGTCACTAAAATACCAGGAATTTCTAAGTCTGGAGACCATTCTCATGGGATCCACTGTCATTTATCATACAGATGAGAATCATACACATCTTCTGAATATTAGAACACAATTCCCTGACTGACCAGCAGAAGTATCAATACCAATGACATAACGTTACACTGACGAGAGCAACATGAGCTAATAATAGGTGAGGACAGTATTGAAGTTCATACCATATGGAGAGGATGATATCTACAGTCACAGGCAAGATCAGCCTAAATTATTACATAGTAGTACTGATGATGTATACACAATTTTAGCTGTAATTGAAAATGCCATGACAATGAATATCTTATATAAACTGGGACCAGACGAATCTTGTTAATCGTCACCACCATCTGAAGAGTGCTATTGTATTGGAAGAACAAGACATGTTCAATATTTGCCGTAAGCCATCAAATTAAAGTGACAGTTGAAAACAGTTGAAATCATAATTTAATGTTGCATCAGTATTGTTTCAGCTATTTAGCGACAACAGCTGGGTATAATACCAAACTAATTATGCTGATTTTGCTGTACATTTAAACAAACAACATTCCCTAAATATTGTCCAACAAAAGTGAATACGAATGTGGGTGGGAAGGAGAAGTCGTGTGACATTCATTGTCGTGTGACATTCATTGAAGTGTGACATTCATTGAAGCATGTCCGTAAAGAGCTGTTCAGCCGGAGATGGCAGACAGCAATCCAACTATAATATTTCACCATAACCAATTCATGCAATTAGTTTTTAAATGACAGCTGACTAATGGAAATATTTACCTTGAGTGTAGACTTGTATTGTCAGACGCTGACAACTTTATTTCCGGTACCGGCAAGTGGTCTTGGTGCCTCCTATTGCGGCACGTGCAGTGACGAGTTTTCTACCGTTGCTGTGAAGAGTTTTTCCGTGCCCCATTCAGCTGCAGTCGGGTACACAAACTGTATGCCCGAACACTTTTTCCAAAAGTAGGTCTAGATTATCTAGACTATCTATCATATACATGAGCTGTAACAACCGCCGAAACACAAGTGACTGAATGAAAATTAGATTCTGTGCATGTGGCGTTATTCATCGTCTGTGGTGAATTCCCATTTACTTCTGCATTGATTAAAATTACAAACCATCACTGTTCGACTATAGTTTGTAAAGGAAATATGTATTTGAGAACTATTTGCTTCACTTGCGAATAATTCTAGCGATGTCTTGGTACAGCCATGGGATTGGTAGTCACACAAACCCTAAAACACAAATATCCAATACAGCCCATGTAAGTCTATTATAGTGGGCAAGTCTAGTTCACTGCAGTTTCAGGATGAAAATGAAAATGAGTCTCTGGGCTTTTCTAGGTATTTTTTTAGATTTTGTTTTAGTCAGATAAGTTAACAACTGTGTTTATATGTAAAATGTGTTCTTTTGAAAGACTAGAGGTTAGTCTGCTGGCATGGGATGTGGGGGTCGGGTGTATTTGGTAATCTCGTTGTCAACACTATGTATTATAGCTTCAGTGAAGGTGTAATGTCTCCTATATTGAAACAATGTTTGATTGCGCTTGAAGACATAATGGTTAATCATTTTAATGTCCGCGCCAGTAAGGAGATACAGTGAAGGATTTTTATTAACATGAGATATCGATGCGTAAGAAGCAGCATTCAAACTTCCAAACTCTTTGGTTAGACAGGATGTGACTGAATCCGAGACAAAATAAAGTGCCTCTTGCTATGACGTCATTGTATAGTAAAATTACAACGTGACGTCACTTTTTGACTGACGTCAGAAGGGAACGCCGCCAGACATGTACAAACTGCGGTATATCTCAACAGACTTAACTCCTCGCCAATTTACCATTTGACACTATCACTATCACTGGCTGTGACTGTTGGCAGATTGAGTGTTACATTGTTTGCAAAGCGACCCACAGCAACGTGTCGACATGATATTATCAACACACTGTCGCAAACAATTGACTGTTCTATGACGTCACATACTGTTTTATGTCACGTCGTTCCAACCATAGATTGACTTACAAAATTAATTCACTGAGGACAGATAATACGTACTTCTTCGTAGCTTGATGATAATTCTCTTAATTGCGTTTGTATTACTTCAACAATAATTTCATGTGCTTTTTTAAGTTGTCATAAGGCATACAATCCTTATCACACTTGCTTCGTATGGATTATTATTAATTAATGATTAAGTCATGTTTGATATTTAGTATTGTGTTGATGCATATGTAGATATATATCTGTTAAATCCAGTGCGATGTACACATTATTTTACCGGACAGCAGAAGCATGCACGAGCCCGCTTTTCATTCGTCAAAGCTCGCCCCTTTCCGTAACCTGCTAGAAGACTCGCCCCCCTGTCGATGAATGTTATGTACGACAAACCAATTAGAATGCGCGTATGACTTCAAAGAATCCCACAGGAATGATTTTTTATTTTACATATGTCTTGCATTTAAAATATACCCAAGACACAGTTAAATATGTTAAACAGTTATATATACTGTAAGTCCCAATGTGTTTTCAATAGCATCTGGAATATATATGACATGGGGGAAATATACATGAATCATTGCGCCATGAGATGACAATTCTGTCAGCTATTCCCGTTTGCCCTTAGACGGAACCCAGTCGCAAAATGGCCACAAAATAAGGTGCCTCTTGCTATGACGTGCCTCTTGCTTACACCAAGGTGGTCATGTGACGCGAAAAATACAAAGCCAGGCCAAGCTGACCGGCAGAGAACATTAGGCTAGGCTGAGACCGCAGTAGCCTTAGCACAAAGAATCAATCACCATATGTTAGATTATGTAACTGAGGTGTGTGTTAGTGGACTAAGTAAACTAATTTATTTAATAAATACACTAATCCTAAAATACCTATGTTTTGGATAAGTTTATACTAAACTACTTTTAAAATAATCCCAAATATATACCACCTGCCACAGTAGCATATTGTTTACACTACTACTACTACTACTACTACTACTACTACTACTACTACTACTACTACTGCTGCTGCTGCTGCTGCTGCTGCTGCTGCTCCTACAACCATTACTACTATGACCACTAAACTACGTAAAACAACAAATAAACAACCACTTCCACTACTACTATTTCCACTACCACTTCCACTACAACCACAACCACTACTATTACTACTACTACCACTACCCCGTGAAGATCGGGATAGAATAGGTCTTCAGCAAACTATGCCTGTCCTAAGAGGCGACTAACGGGATCGGGTGGTCAGGCTCGCTGACTTGGTTGATGTATGTCATCGATCCCAACTGCGTGGATCAATGCTCATATTGTCAATCACTGGATTGTCTGATCCAGACTCGATTATTTACAGACCGCCGTCATATAGCTGGAATATTGCTGAGTGCGGCGTTAAACAACAACAACAACATAGCATGTTGACTGTGCATTAAATGACCTTCACAAAGCTTATGTATCAAATTACATAAAACTTCACTGTAACACACAGAAGCTGCACAGATCTCAAAGCTTTAGGGATCGCCTTTCGTGCGTATATTGTTCTCACAGACGGTATATTACTACTACTATCGATACTACTACTACTTCTACCACTGCTGTAGTTGTTGCTAGTACTACTACAACTACTACGACTACTATTACTCGACCCGTGAAGATCCGGGTTAGAATTGTTGTAAGAGGCGACTAACGGGATCGGGTGATCACGCTCGCTGACTTGGTTGATGCAAGAGAGAGAGAGAGAAAGAGAGAGAGAGAGAGAGAGAGAGAGAGAGAGAGAGAGAGAGAGAGAGAGAGAGAGCGAGAGAGAGAGAGATTCAACATTGTACATATTTATTTTATTCACCTTCAGTGTCTGCTTTTAAGTTTTCAATTTTTATGTTTAATTATTGGTTAATATGGATTAAATGTAGTTAATGTGTCATTCATGTTGTAAGACTTAACAAACCCAAGCCATGACGTGCTCAACTGATTGGCCAAGCTAACCCTCAAAGTTGACCCTTTGTCTCACTGCACGTTCTCAGTCTGCACACATTTCTTACACAGACAAGGAATCTCATCTAAATCAGGTTAGTTTAATATGTTTGTGTATGTTTGTATTGTATGTTATTGGATCTAAATGTTGCAGTATATTAAACCTATAATACTAAACTTAACTAAATGTGTTTAATATTATCATATTGTCAGTTAAAATCTATTTAAGTAAATGTGGTAAACAAGACATAAATTGTAAGCTTTGGTAATATACTAATATATCACTTTTCTGTCTCTTTATTCTTGTATGTATCAGGAAGAGTGTATGCGTTGTTTTACGGAATAGGCTATGTTTTAAATGCTTTTGAGATCAGTTCTGTATAATATACAGTCTGTACTAAACGGGATCCGGAGTAATTTTTAAAAGTGTATGTAAACAGTATAGTTGTATTAGTCATTGTTATAAAAGTATATGTTTTATTCAGATATCCGGAATTATAAGTTGCGGCACTTTTCGGGAAGACACCCCAGTCTCACCCACAGGGTAGGCACATGACTACTAGTATAGTCAGTTTTATATTACACCCGTAAATTCATGTATATGTATGTATTTTGAAAGAGATTTATAATCTCTTTACACGTATATATATAATATATGGATCATTATTATATTTGGTCATTACATCAGTTAGCAGATTATTGTACAATATAACAACTAATATATGAATAAGACCTGTTTGTAATGTAAAACTGTAATACTGTGATGTCGATGACTGCATTATGTGTATTGTCAATATTACTTATCATTCCTTTAACACGTGTCAGGGTGTAGATACTGGATACATATAGGAAACATCCAATGGCAAAATAAAACGTCTCTCACCCGTAGAGTGTGTTTGCTTATCACTCATTCATTCATTATCCCTGCTACAGGTGTGTGCGTGCGTGCGTGCGTGCGTGAGTTGAGGTGAAATGGGGTTTAACGTCGCGTCCAAGATTATTGCACTTATATAGCGACGTGCATGTACGTGTGTGTGTTTGTGTGGCTGCATGTACTAGTCCGGACTGATGCCGATTTATAGTGCTAGCACACTGAGATACCATGCCGCAGTTTAACATGAATACCCCACTCAGACACAGTATACTGACTCCGCGCCGACCAGTCCTTGTTTTAGCCCCTTAATGCCGAGCGCCAGACAGGGTAACAAGAATTACCCTCTTTTAACGTCTTTTGGTATGATGCGGCCGGGGATCGAACCCCGGACCTTCCGCTCTCCGGGCGGACGCTCCTCCACTAGACCACGGATGCGGTCACGTGCGTGTGTGTGTGTGTGTGTGTGTGAGCAACGTCACATAGCAATAGAATAGATAAGGGGAAAGCGGACTGCTATCTAGTAACAGTGGCATGCAGATTTCTGTTAACTTGCAGGCATTTTTATGATAATTCGATCCATTTTAGCTGGAATACTTGTTTAAAGGGTCACATTTAGTGCATTCTTTATTCCATTGTTCACGTGTTTTTTTTACATTAAAGCGTTGTATCGGAAACATATGTACTGGTCCTGTCATTTATACCGGTTGTACGTGTCAAGTCTTCATTTTGACATGACATGTCCGATACAAATACCAAATTGTGTAAACTTTTCGACATAATACATTCGTTATGGTGTCTTTTGTTGCCGTATACGGTGTCATATTAGGCTAGTAGAAAAATATTGGGCTGGTGTCACGCCTCGTCCAATTTCTTTTGCTAACATAATAAACAAAAAACAATACATGTTTCTCACATTACTTTTCAAAGTGAGGAATGAGAACTATCTACCGAGCATATATACCAT